TACTTGAGTCAATCTTTCTGCCTCGGTCCGAGCCGTTTCCTGCTCTGATTTTAGCATTTCCCATTCTCCATTTTCCGCATCTTGCTGATTATTAATTAGATTGGCCGCTTTTATTTTTCGTTTATTTTCGGTAAGATTTCTAGCCGAATTATTACTTTCTCCGGAAATTTTCAATAAATTTTGTTGTTCGGGCAGTAAAGTAGTAAAACTTTTTCCTAATTCCAGTTCGGTTTCTTGTTTTAACAGAGCAGCAAAGTCGGTCAGAATCTCTTTAACTTTTTTTGAACTTCCTTTCACCGCTTCGTAAATTGGACGGTCGTTCTCATTACCGATTTCCCTTTTGTATTCTTTTACATGCTCGCAGTAAAAAATGACTTCATCAACTATTTTAGCCCTAATATTTTCGGTTTTTTCTTTGCTATTAGTCTCATTGATCGCTAGCGAATAATCTTTGCTACCTTGATAGTAAAAGGTTTGAATTATATTATTTTGGGCTTGCTCTAAATTGTTTTTGCTGACAGGGCCTTTTTTTTTCTCAATACGCCTGAAAAATTAAATCGTCTAAATATTCAATAATGGCTCGTTTTTGTTCTTCACTAATAGATTCATTATTATCAGAAAAATCTCGAATTTCCTCTTTTAATTTTTCAGTAACTTGCTCCAATTCGAGGTATTCTTTTAAGTGGCTAATTAATATGTTTATCTCGGATTCTTTTTGGTTAAGAACCTGCTTAATCACCTCTTTATTTACTTTAACAACAACTACTTCCTTTTTCAACGTTTCCTCATTCTCGTCAACAATTAACTTTTCTACTTCTCCCTCATAACTTGTCTTGGTCCGTGTTTCTGCCAAAAAGCCAGTAAAGTCGGTTAAGAAATTATTAATTATTTCTTTATCCTCCGTCAAATTATTAACAAGATCGTTGCCAACTTTTATTTTTTGGTCCAATTCTGTTAATATTTTGCTTTTTGTTTTTCTTACATCGGTAATTCTGTCTTTGACCCTTTCAATAAATTTATCTA